AGGGCCTAGCGTGTGCAAAATAGCAAGAACAAGGGCCTAGCATGTGCAAAATTGCTAGAACAAGGGCCTAGCGTGTGCAAAATTGCAAGAACAAGGGCCTAGCGTGTGCAAGATAGCAAGAAGAAGGGCCTTGCGTGTGCAAAATAGCAAGAAAAAGAGCCTAGTGTGTGCAAAATTGCAAGAACAAGGGCCTAGCAGGTGCAAAATTGCAAGAACAAGGGCCTAGCGTGTGCAAAATTGCAAGAACAAGGGCCTAACGTGTCCAAAATTGCAAGAACAAGGGCCTAACGTGTGCAAACTTTCAAGAACAAGGGCCTAGCGAGTGCAAAATTGCAAGAACAAGGGCCTAACGTGTGCAAACTTTCAAAAACAAGGGCCTAGCGAGCGCAAAATTGCCAGAACAAGGGCGTAGCGTGTGCAAAATAGCAAGAACAAGGGCCTAGCGTGTGCAAAATGGTTAGAACAAGGGCCTAGCGTGTGCAAAATTGCGAGAACAAGGGCCTAACGTGTGCAAAAGTTTAATAACAATGGCCTAGTGTGTGCAAAATTGCTAGAACAAGGGCCTAGCGTGTGCAAAATTGCATGAACAAGGGCCTAGCGAGTGCAAAATTGAAAGAACAAGGGCCTAGCGTGTGAAACTTTTCAAGAACAAGGGCCTAGCTGTTGAAAAATTGCAAAAACAAGGGCCTAGCATGTGCAAAATAGCAAGAACAAGGGCCTAGCATGTGCAAAATTGCAAGAACAAGGGCCTAGCGTGTGCAAAATAGCAAAGACAAGGGCCTAGCATGTGCAAAGTTTCAAGAACAAGGCCAAGCGTGTGCAAAAGTGCAAAAATATGGGCCTAGTATGCGTAAACTTTCAAGAACAAGGGCCTAGCGTGTGCAAAATTGCAGGAACAAGGGCCTAGCGTGTGTAAAAGTTCAAGAACAAGGGCCTAGCGTGTGCAAAATAGCAACTACAAGGCCTAGCGTGTGCAAAACTGCAAGAACAAGGGCCTAGCGTGTGCAAAACTGCAAGAACAAGGGCCTAGCGTGTGCAAAATCGCAAGAACAAGGGCGTAGCGTGTCCAAAATAGCAAGAACAAGGGCCTAGCGTGTGTAAAACGGGAAGAACAAGGGCCTAGCGAGTGCAAAGTTGCAATAACAAGGGCCTAGCGAGTGCAAAATTGCATGAAGAAGGGCCTAGCGTGAGCAAAATTTCAAGAACAAGGGCCTAGCCGTTGAAAAAATGCAAAAACAAGGGCCTAGCGTGTGCAAAATAGCAAGAACAAGGGCCTAGCATGTGCAAAATTGCAAGAACAAGAGCCTAGCGTGTGCAAAATAGCAAAAACAAGGGCCTAGCATGTGCAAAATTTCAAAAACAAGGGCCAAGCGTGTGCAAAAGTGCAAAAACAGGGGCCTAGTGTGTGTAAACTTTCAAGAACAAGGGCCTAGCTTGTGCAAAATTGCAAGACCAAGGGCCTAGCGTGTGCAAAATTGCAAGAACAAGGGCCTAGCGAGTGCAAAATTGCAAGAATAAGGGCCGATCGTGTGCAAAATAGCAAAGACAAGGGCCTAGTGTTTGCAAAATTTCAAGAACAAGGGCCAAGCGTGTGCAGAAGTGCAAAAATATGGGCCTAGTGTGTGTAAACTTCCGAGTTTAAGGGACTAGCGTGTGCAAAATTGCAGGAACAAGGGGCTAGCGTGTGTAAACTTTCAAGAACAAGGGCCTAGCATGTGCAAGATAGCCAGAACAAGGGCCTAGCGTGTGCAAAATTGCAAGAACAAGGGCCTAGCGTGTGCAAAATAGCAAGAGCAAGGGCCTAGCATGTGCAAAATATCAAGAACAAGGGCCTAGCGTCTGCAAAATTGCAAGAACAAGAGCCTAGCGTGTGCAAAATTGTCAGAACAAGGGCCTAGCGTGTGAAAAATTGCAAGAACAAGGGCCTAGCGTGTGCAAAATAGCAAGAACAAGGGCCTAGCGTGTGCAAAATTGCAAGAACAAGGGCCTAGCGTGTGCAAAATTGCAAGAACAAGGGCCTAGCATGTGCAAAATTGCAAAATCAAGGGCCTATTGAGTGCAAAAATGCAAGAACAAGGGCCTAACGTGTGCAAAATTTTGAGAACAAGGGCCTAGCGTGTGCAGAATTGCTAGAACAAGGGCCTAGCATGTTCAAAATTGCGAGAACAAGGGCCTAGCATGTGCAAAGTAGCAAGAACAAGAGCCTAGCGTGTGCAACATAGCAAGAACAAGGGCCTAGCGTCTGCAAAATTGCAATAACAATGGCCTAGCGAGTGCAAAATTGCAAGAACAAGGGCCTAGCGTGTGCAAAATTGCAAGAACAAGGGCCTAACATGTGCAAAATTGCAAGAACAAGGGCCTAACGTGTGCAAAATTTCAAGAACAAGGCCCTAGCGTGTGCAAAATTGCAAGAAGAGGGGCCTAGCGTGTGCAAAATTGCAAGAACAAGGGCCTAGCGTGTGCAAAATAGCAAGAACAAGGGCCTAGCGTGTGCGAAATTGCAAGAACAAGGGCATAGCGAGTGCAAAATTGCAAGAACAAGGGCCTAGCGAGTGAAATAATTCAAGAACAAGGGCCTAGCTGTTCAAAAAATGCAAAAACAAGGGCCTAGCGTGTGCAAAATAGCAAGAACAAGGGCCTAGCATGTGCAAAATTGCAAGAACAAGGGCCTAGCGTGTGCAAAATAGCTAAGACAAGGGCCTAGCGTGTGCAAAATTTCAAGAACAAGGCCAAGCGTGTGCAAAAGTGCAAAAATACGGGCCTAGTATGTGTAAACTTTCAAGAACAAGAGCCTAGCGTGTGCAAAATTGCAGGAACAAGGGCCTAGCGTGTGTAAAATTTCAAGAACAAGGGCCTAGCGTGTGCAAAATAGCAACTACAAGGCCTAGCGTGTGCAAAATCGCAAGAACAAGGGCCTAGCGTGTCCAAAATTGTCAGAACAAGGGCCTAGCATATGCAAAATTGCAAGAAAAAGGGGCCAGCGAGTCAAAATTGCAAGAACAAGGGCCTAGCGTGTGCAGAATAGCAAGAACAAGGGCCTAGCGTGTGCAAAATTGCAAGAACAAGGGCCTAGTGTGTGCAAAATAGCAAGAAGGGCCTAGCGTGTGGAAAATTGCAAGAACAAGGGCCTAGCATGTGCAAAAGAGCAAGAACAAGGGCCTAGCGTGTGCAAAATAGCAAGAACAATGGCCTAGCGTGTGCAAAATTGCAAGAACAAGGGCCTAGCGTGTGCAAAGTTGCAAGAACAAGGGCCTAGACTGTCCAAAATAGCAAGAACAAGGGCCTAGCGTGTGTAAAACAGGAAGAACAAGGGCCTTGCGAGTGCAAAGTTGCAATAACAAGGGCCTAGCGAGTGCAAAATTGCATGAACAAGGGCCTGGCGTGTGCAAAATTTCAAGAACAAGGGCCTAGCATGTGCAAAATTGCAAGAACAAGGGCCTAGCATGTGCAAAATTGCAAGAACAAGAGCGTAGCGTGTGCAAAATAGCAAAAACAAGGGCCTAGCATGTGCAAAATTTCAAGAACAAGGGCCAAGCATGTGCAAAAGTGCAAAACCATGGGCTTAGTGTGTGTAAACTTTCAAGAACAAGGGCCTAGCTTGTGCAAAATTGCAAGAACAAGGGCCTAGCGTGTGCAAAATTGCAGAAACAAGGGCCTAGCGAGTGCAAAATTGCAAGAACAAGGGCCTAGCGAGTGCAAAATAGCAAGAACAAGGGCCTAGCGTGTGCAAAGTTGCAAGATCAAGTGCCTAGCGAGTGCAAAAATAGCAAGAACAAGGGCCTAGCGTGTGCAAAATTGCAAGAACAAGGGCCTAGCGTGTGCAAAGTTGCAAGAACAAGGGCCTAGTGAGTGCAAAAATAGCAAGAACGAGGGCCTAGCGTGTCCAAAACATCAAGAACAAGGGCCTAGCATGTGCAAAATTGCAAGAAAAAGGGGCCAGCGAGTCAAAATTGCAAGAACAAGGGCCTAGCTTGTGCAAAATAGCAAGAACAAGGGCCTAGCGTGTGAAAAATTGCAAGAACAAGGGCCTAGCGTGTGCAAAATAGCAAGAACAATGGCCTAGCGTGTGGAAAATTGCAAGAACAAGGGCCTAGCATGTGGAAAATTGCAAGAACAAAGGCCTAGCGAGTGCAAAATTGCAAGGACAAGGGCCTAACGTTTGCAAAATTTTAAGAATAAGGGCTTAGCGTGTGCAAAGTTGCTAGAACAAGGGCCTAGCGTGTGCTAAATTGCAATAACAAGGGCATAGCGTGTGCAAAATAGCAAGAACAAGGGCCTAGCGTGTGCAAAATTACAAGAACAAGGGCCTAGCGAGTGCAAAATTGCAAGAACAAGGGCCTAGCGTGTGCAAAATTGCAAGAACAAGGACCTAACGTGTCCAAAATTGCAAGAACAAGGGCCTAACGTGTGCAAAATTTCAAGAACAAGGGCCTAGCGTGTGCAAAATAGCAAGAACAAGGGCCTAGCGTGTGCAAAATTGCAAGAACAAGGGCCTAGCGAGTGCAACATTGCAAGAACAAGGGCCTAGTGTGTGCAAAATTGCAAGAACAAGGGCTATCGAGCTTAAACAGTGTTCAATGACAATGACAAGCCCAAGGCCGCCTTGGCTGTTTCCGAGAACTTCGACAGCATCAATGTCCTACAATTTCTTATCAGTTGTTAGTTTTGAGCCTAGATTTGTAATCCTTAAGACTAAAGGAAACCGTTGGTACGTTTTAAGTGTTCATACAGCGAACACTGACCATTCGGTCCTATTGTCAGGCACTCTCGAGGCGACTGCTAACAATGACATCTCTAGGACATGTGGCGCTCTCAAGGTTTATGGCAGTCTTAGGGTACTCAACAGCCATCGAGCAACACTTTCATCAGCTTTCAAGTACTACTTATTCAAGCATTGGTGGAGAGAAAGGCACAAGCCATTACGAGAGTTTCAGGTTTCCTGCCTCCTCTCTCAGTCAGTCGCAGCAACTCTGCGCTTCTTCCAGTTCCATCTCTGTGTCATGGCTCCCCCTGAAGCGTCTCCCGTTGGGCTCGTTCCGGCTGGTGGTCCTCATGGGAATAAGCCGTTGGATGCGCTTTTGGAGCCTGTCACGCCGAAGACTCTGTTCAATGGCGCGTCGGCTCCTCCGGCTGACAACGGGATTGCGGAGTTGATAGAGAGAACGTCGGCTTCGCGGATTAACGGTCTGCCGGCAGACAAGGTCAAGGGTGGGCAGGACGCGGGGATACTGGTCAGCGGTACTTCCTCTGCTCCGAGCGGATCTGATCAGGAAGGTTTGGTGGGGTGGTCATCAGGTGGAAGGTTTCTGAACAAGACAGTCCGGAGACAGGCGACATCAGATGTAGCACGGCTTGTGGATGTTATATGCTGTATCACCCCTAATAAAGCCCGTGGATGCGAGGGGCTCGAAGTCGAGTGGTTTAATGGGTAACACACCTTTCCTCACCATTTGCGGGGTCAACGTGAACGGCCTCGGTAGCAGTGGAAAACGCACCAAGAACAGAAGGTGGCTGAGAACGACAGCGGACATAATGGTGCTTTCAGATACGAGGATCAAGGAGGATCATAATTTCTGGAACGAGATTAGGCCAAAATCTTGGGCTGCGGTAGGGCCGGGACAAGCTGCAGGCGGGGTGGCGATCTTGTCGTTCGGCAAGCACATCCGCTTCTCCGCCGTGACATCTGACACAATAGGGAGACTTTTGGGGGTGACAGTGGAAGGAGGGGAGGAGTCTTTCTGACTGGTTGCCGCGTACCTCCCTGCTCAGGCCTGTAACAGGGCGAAGTTTCACAAGGAGCATCTGGAGCCTTTTGTGCTAGCTCAACCACAGTCGAAACATATGGTGCTGGTGGGTGACCTCAACATGATAGCAGACCCAGACCTGGACAAGTCGTCTGGGGTGGGGTCAGGGAGAGAGAATCAGCAGTTTCTCGAGGCATGGAGGACGCATGATCTCCGAGATGCCTTCCGGGTTCTGCATCCCACAGAAAAGGAATACACTTTCAAGGATAGGGCCTCACAGTCAAAGACACGCATCGACAGGGCTATGGTGTCCATGTCCTTGCTCGGCAACCTGGAAGGGGTGTGCCATGTGGCAGTGCCGAGGAATCTGACGGACCATTGGTTCGCTGTCAAGATAAGGCTGAAGTTCACCTCGACGCACACGTACGGTCCGGGACTCTGGAGGTTCCATGCGTCAAGGGGAAAAAGGAGAGGGGTGAGAAAGGTTATACAGGAAGTGGTGGAAGGTCTGAGCAAGGCAGGGAGGGTCTCTCTGGAGCAGGTGCTGCCTAAGCTCACGGCGGTTCTGCGAGCACACGAAAAAGAGGAGCGAAAGAGAGTTTTGGCCACCCAGCGACATCTTACGGAAGAGGTGGAAAGGCTGAGACACATGATCATGGGTGGTCCGACGGATGACAAGACGAAGGCGCTGCTGCTGTCCAGGGAAGAGCAGCTGGAAGCTTACCGGGAAAACGAGAGGGAGAGACTAGAGGTCTTTGCAGGACTCGCGGCAGAGCTGCAGGGAGAGATCCCGTCACCATACCTCTCTGCTCAGGTGAAGATGCGGAAAGACCGCACGCTGATCGAGGAGGTGCAGTTTAAAGGTTCGTGCCGCAGGGGTTCCCAAGCGGTGTTGTCGGCGGCGTCGGAGTACTTTGCGGAAGCTTTTAAGGCGGAGGCGGCGGGTTCACAGCCGAGCGATCTTGTTATCCAGGTGGACAGGAAGCTGCCGGGGGTGGCAGCAGACAGACTCAAGGCTCCATGGACGGAACTGGAGGTTAAGGCGGCTCTGGATGGGCTCCCGAAGGGGAAATCGCCAGGACAGGATGGTCTGCCTGCAGAGCTCTTTATCGGCCACTGGGATCTGCTCAAAAACAGTTTCATGGGTTTGGTCAGGAAGTTCGAAGAAACGGGGAAGTTGCCGGACTCACTGACGACGGCGGTAACAGTCCTACTGCATAAAAAAGGGGAGAAGGATCTGCTCACGAACTACAGACCGATTTTGCTTCTCACCACTGTGTACAAGGTCCTTGCCAAGGAGCTGGCAAACAGGCTCAAGCAGGAGCTGCATTTAATCATCTCAAAGGAGCAACACGGCTTCATACCGGGCCGCAGCCTGGCGGACGCAGTGGCGGTGGTGGCGGATGCCATAGAAGCGGCAGACAATGACGGGGAGGATTGGTACCTCCTGCTGGTGGATTTCCAGAAGGCTTACGACACGGTGTCGCGGGATTTCCTCTTCAAGACGTTGGAGAAGCTCGGACTGCCGGCGCAGTTTGTCGGTTGGACGGAAGGTCTGCATCGGGGAGCAGGGACGAAGATGGCGGTTAACGGGTGGATCGGGGAGAAGGTGGAAATGCAGAGAGGGGTGCGTCAGGGGTGTCCCTTAGCGCCATACCTGTTTTTGTGCGCCCTGGAGCCACTATGCGCGGAGATAAAGAGGCGCGGTCTGGGAGTCAAGGCGGAGGAAGGCAAAGCAGTGTCGTATGTGGGATACGCAGACAATACCTCGCTGATCCTCAAGGGCGCTGATCAGCTGCGCGAGGCGGCAGAAGTATTAGAGTGGTTTGGCGATCTATCAGGCCTGCGCATCAACCGAGACAAATCAATCGTCATGCCACTAGGAAGGAACAAAGGCAAGACGTCGCTGCCAGGGATTACCTTCAAATGGGCGATGGAGGAGGTCCCTGAAAGGCTACTGGGGGTGTGGGTGACTCCGAACGGAGACGCATCGCCGTCCTGGGAGAAGGCTTGGGAGAGGGGGAGAAGAGAGCTGGTTAAGTGGGAGAGCAAACATTTGCTAACGGCATCGAGGGTGACGGTGATCAACAGCTACATCATGCCGATTTTCCTGTTCCAGGCGCAGATCTACCCGCCGCCGGAAGAGCTCTGGGGGAAGATACAGAAAACATGCGATAATTATGTTTCAAAGGGAGAAACGACTGCGGAGAAAATTTTCGTTCTCTGGAGTGGCGAACTCGCTCGTCTGCCGAAGAAGAAGGGAGGTTTGGGGCTGATCGACCCGAAGGAACGGCTGGACAGCCTGGCGATACGTCAGGTGGGAAAGTTCCTAACGGAGCAAGACACCACCAAGCGATGGCTGACGGAAAAGGCGGCGGCAATGCCGCAAGGAGTCGCGTCGTTTTTCGCTCACAAGTCTGCGGGCAAGCACTGGGAGAAGGGGAGCCAGAGGTGGAAAGCGATAGCTGAAGTATTTTGGGAGTCCCCTTTCGCCGACCTGCCGGCGCCCTCCAGCAGCTGGGAGGTGGAGCGGGAGCTGCTCTGTTTCAACCGCCACATCATGTACCGCGGGGGGAGCCCGTTCGGGAATCAGAAGGGAACGTCGGGCATCCTGAAGACCAGAATGAGAGACCTGCTCACAACAAAAGAGGACGGGAGTAGAGACATCAAAGATGTCAAAACGTTGGCAAGGGAGTTTGGAAGCGTGGTACCGGCCCGATGGGCGAAAAAGGCTTTCGAAGCAGCCCCGGCGGAATGGAAAGCATTGCTGAGGGCGCCCAGAACAGCGGAAGCGGTTGTGGCGGCCGCAAAAGTGGTGCGCACGGTCCTGACTCGCACGCAGGAGTTCCTGTACTGGACAGTTAAAGAGGCCAAAGACGGAGAAGTCGTACTGGAAGACATTCGGTGCTCGGATGGCCTGAACCTGGTAGTGCCGTCGACGCCGGTGGTGGCTGTTTTCTCCGCCAAGAGGACGGAGCCGGTAGCGATGAAAGGAGGGACAGTGCTCGGGGCGATGGGCGAGCCGAGGGCGAAGTTGTGTCAGACCCTGCTGGTGGAAGATAACATGAGACCGGCGGCACCTAGGGTGATCAGAAGAGTATTGGCGGGGCCGGCGGGGGCGTCAAGACGCAGACATGAGTGGGACGAGGAGCTAGGCAAGAAAATTGATTGGAAAGCAGTAAGGGAGAGGAGGGACTCCTTGGCGATCCCCTACAGGGCGAGGGATGTGGTGTTGAGGATGCACAGCAAAAACCTGCAGGTGGGGGGGAGGCTGGTTTTCCTGGGCTCCGGAGGAAACTGTCCGCACTGTGGAGGCCCAGAAACCTTGGACCACTGCATACGTACCTGTCCAGTCATTCAGCCGGTGATTGGTGCTCTCTTGCGCTCTCTGGGAATGATTAATCCGACGGACCAGACGAGCTCGCTCGGGGACATGCTGTTCTCAGAGGGAGCCACGAAGTCCGGATTCCCCGGGGGGACGTTGACAGCGGTGACAATGAGAAGAATTTGGCTGGCCAGAGTGGATGCCGTTTTCCGGAAGGAGAGATTTCAGAGGAAAAAGGTGGTAAGGGCGGCAATTTATGATTTTATGCGTCACGCGAGGCTGTACAGGGCGGAAAAGTTAAGGAAGGCAGCAAAGAACAGGAACATGCAAGGACACGTACTGGACCCGTGGGGGGGTCTGGCAGGAGATGAACGAGCGGCAATCGCAAGGATAAGCGAAACAGGGGTGCAAGCCACGTGGAAGGTGGATTTTCTCTCCGTTTGGCAAAACCCCAAAACCTTCCACCGGCCGCCGTAAACGTGGTCAGGGGGGAGGCATCTCAGCTAAGGCTGGGATGTAGCTGTCCCCTCTGGAATCCAGTTACGACTGCGAATGTATATGCATTGTTATAATGCACTTGCGTTCGAAAAAAAAAAAAAAAAAAAAAAAAAAGCAAGAACAAGGGCTTAACGTGTGCAAAATTGCAAGAACAAGGGCCTAACGTGTGGAAAATTTCAAGAACAAGGGCCTAGCGTGTGCAAAATAGCAAGAACAAGGGCCTAGCGTGTGCAAAATAGCAAGAACACGGGCCTAGCGTGTGGAAAATTGCAAGAACAAGGGCCTAACGTTAGCAAAATTTCAAGAACAAGGGCCTAGCGAGTGCAAAATTGCCAAAACAAGAGCCTAGCGTGTGCAAAATTGCAAGAACAAGGGCCTAGCGTGTGCAAAATTGCAAAAACATGGGCCTAGCGTGTGCAAAATAGCAAGAAAAAGGGCTTAGCTTGTGCAAAATTGCAAGAACAAGGGCCTAGCGTGTGCAAGATAGCAAGAACAAGGGCCTAGCGTGTGCAAAATAGCAAGAACAAGGGCCTAGCGTGTGAAAAATTGCAAGAACAAGGGCCTAGCGAGTGCAAAATTGCAAGAACAAGGGCCTAACGTTTGCAAAGTTTTAAGAACAAGGGCCTAGCGTGTGCAAAATTGCTAGAACAAGGGCCTAGCGTGTGTACAATTGCAAGAACAAGGGCCTAGCGTGTGCAAAATAGCGAGAACAAGGGCTTAGCTTGTGCAAAATTGCAAGAACAAGGGCCTAGCGTGTACAAGATAGCAAGAACAAGGGCCTAGCGTGTGCAAAATAGCAAGAACAAGGGCCTAGGGTGTGGAAAATTGCAAGAACAAGGGCCTAGCGAGTGCAAAATAGCAAGAACAAGGGCCTAGCGTGTGCAAAATGGCAAGAACAAGGGCCTAGCATTTGCAAAATTGCAAGAACAAGGGCCTAGCGAGTGCAAAATTGCAAGAACAAGGGCCTAGCGTGTGCAAAATTGCAAGAACAAGGGCCTAACGTTAGCAAACTTTCAAGAACAAGGGCCTAGCGAGTGCAAATTTGCCAGAACAAGGGCCTAGCGTGTGCAAAATTGCAAGAACAAGGGCCTAGCATGTGCGAAATTGCAAAAACAAGGGCCTAGCGTGTGCAAAATAGCAAGAACAAGGGCACAGCTTGTGCAAAATTGCAAGAACAAGGGCCTAGCGTGTGCAAAATTGCAAGAACAGGGGCCTAGCGTGTGCAAAATTACAAGAACAGGGGCCTAGCGTGTGCAAAATTGCAAGAACAAGGGCCTAGGGAGTGCAAAATTGCAAGAACAAGGGCCTAGCGTGTGCAAAATTGCAAGAACAAGGGCCTAATGTTAGCAAACTTTCAAGAACAAGGGCCTGGTGAGTGCAAATTTGCCACAACAAGGGCCTAGCGTGTGCAAAATTGCAAGAACAAGGGCCTAGCGTGTGCAAAATTGCCAAAACAAGGGCCTAGCGTGTGCAAAATAGCAAGAACAAGGGCTTAGCTTGTGCAATATTGCAAGAACAAGGGCCTAGCGTGTGCAAGATAGCAAGAACAAGGGCCTAGCGTGTGCAAAATAGCAAGAACAAGGGCATGGCGTGTGCAAAATAGCAAGAACAAGGGCCTAGGGTGTGGAAAATTGCAAGAATAAGGGCCTAGCGTGTGCAAAATAGCAAGAACAAGGGCCTAGCATTTGCAAAATTGCAAGAACAAGAGCCTAGCAAGTGCAAAATTGCAAGAACAAGGGCCTAGCGTGTGCAAAATTGCAAGGACAAGGGCCTAACGTTAGCAAACTTTCAAGAACAAGGGCCTAGCGAGTGCAAATTTGCCAGAACAAGGGCCTAGCGTGTGCAAAATTGCAAGAACAAGGGCCTAGCGTGTTCAAAATAGCAAAAACAAGGGCCTAGCGTGTGCAAAATAGCAAGAACAAGGGCTTAGCTTGTGCAAAATTGCAAGAACAAGGGCCTAGCGTGTGCAAAAATGCAAGAACAGGGGCCTAGCGTGTGCAAAATTGCAAGAACAAGGGCCTAACGTTTGCAAAATTTTAAGAACAAGGGCCTAGCGTGTGCAAAATTGCTAGAACGAGGGCCTAGCGTGTGTACAATTGCAAGAACAAGGGCCTAGCGTGTGCAAAATAGCAAGAACAAGGGCATGGCGTGTGCAATATTGCAAAAACAAGGGCCTAGCGTGTGCAAAAAAGCAAGAACAAGGGCTTAGCTTGTGCAAAATTGCAAGAACAAGGGCCTAGCGTGTGCAAAATTGCAAGAATAGGGGCCTAGCGTGTGCAAAATTGCAAGAACAGGGGCCTAGCGTGTGCAAAATTGCAAGAACAAGGGCATAGCGAGTGCAAAATAGCAAGAACAAGGGCCTAGCGTATGCGAAATTGCAAGAACAAGGGCCTAGAGAGTGCAAAATTGCAAGAACAAGGGCCTAAAGGGTGCAAAAGTTTAAGAACAAGGGCCTAGCGTGTGTAAAATTGCTAGGACAAGGGCCTAGCGTGTGCAAAATTGCAAAAACAAGGGCCTAGCGTGTGCAAAATAGCAAGAACAAGGGCCTAGCGTGTGCAAAATAGCAAGAACAAGGGACTAGCGTGTGCAAATTTGCAAGAACGAGGGCCTAGCGTGTGCAAAATTGTCAGAACAAGGGCCTAGTGTCTGCAAAATTACAAGAACAAGGGCCTAGCGTCTGCAAAATAGCAAGAACAAGGGCCTAGCGTGTGCAAAATTGCAAGAACAAGGGCCTAGCGTGTGCAAAATAGCAAGAACAAGGGCCTAGCGTGTGCAAAATAGCAAGAACAAGGGCCTAGCGTGTGCAAAATTAGAAAAAACAAGGGCCTAGAGAGTGCAAAATTGCAAGAACAAGGGCCTAACGTGTGCAAAATTTTAAGAACAAGGGCCTAGCGATTGCAAAAATGCTAGAACAAGGGCCTAGCCTGTGAAAAATTGCAAGAACAAGGGCCTAGCGTGTGCAAAATTGCAAGAACAAGGGCCTAGCGTGTGCAAAATAGCAAGAACAAGGGCCTAGCGTGTGCAAAATTGCAAGAACAAGGGCGTAGCGAGTGCAAAATTGCAAGAACAAAGGCCTAGCGTGTGCAAAATTGCAAGAACAAGGGCCTAGCGTGTGCAAAATTGCAAGAACAAGGGCCTAATGTGTGCAGAATTTCAAGAAAAAGGGCCTAGTGTGTGCAACATTGCCAGAACAAGGGCCTAGCATGTGCAAAATAGCAAGAACAAGGGCCTAGCGTGTGCAAAATAGCAAGAACAAGGGCCTAGCGTGTGCAAAATAGCAAGAACAAGGGCCTAGCATGTGCAAAATAGCAAGAACAAGGGCCTAGCGTGTGCAAAATAGCAAAAACAAGGGCCTAGCGTGTGCAAAATTGCAAGAACAGGGGCCTAGCGTGTGCAAAATAGCAAGAACAAGGGCCTAGCGTGTGCAAAATTGCAAGAACAAGGTCCTAGCGTGTGCAAAATAGCAAGAACAAGGGCCTAGCGTCTGCAAAATAGCAAGAACAAGGGCCTAGCGTGTGCAAAATTGCAAGAACAAGGGCCTAGAGAGTGCAAAATTGCAAGAACAAGGGCCAACGTGTGCAAAATCTTAAGAACAAGGGCCTAGTGTGTGCAAAATTGCTAGAACAAGGGCCTAGCATGTGCAAAATTGCAAGAACAAGTGCCTAGCGTGTGCAAAATTGTTAGAACGAGGGCCTAGCGTGTGCAAAATTGCAAGAACAAGGGCCTAGCGTGTGCAAAATAGCAAGAACAAGGGCCTAGCGTGTGCAAAATTGCAAGAACAAGGGCCTAGCGTGTGCAAAATAGCAAGAACAAGGGCCTAGCGTGTGCAAAATAGCAAGAACAAGGGCATAGCGTGTGCAAATTTGTTAGAACAAGGGCCTAGCGTGTGCAAAATCTTAAGAACAAGGTCCTAGTGTGTGCAAAATTGCTAGAACAAGGGCCTAGTGTGTGCAAAATTGCAAGAACAAGGGCCTAGCGTGTGCAAATTTGTTAGAACAAGGGCCTAGCGTGTGCAAAATTGCAAGAACAAGATCCTAGGGTGTGCAAAATAGCAAGAACAAGGGCCTAGCATGTGCAAAATAGCAAGAAAAAGGGCCTAGTGTGTGCAAAATTGCAAGAACAAGGGCCTAGCGAGTGCAAAATTGCAAGAACAAGGGCCTAACGTGTGCAAACGTTTAAGAACAAGGGCCTAGCGTGAGCAAAATAGCAAGAATAAGGGCCTAGCAGGTGCAAAATTGCAAGAACAAGGGCCTAGCATGTGCAAAATAGCAAGAACAAGGGCCTAGCGTGTGCAAAATAGCAAGAACAAGGGCCTAGCGTATTCAAAATTGCAAGAACAAGGGCCTAGCGAAGGCAAAATTGCAAGAACAAGGGCCTAACATATGCAAAATTGCAAGAACAAGGGCCTAACTTGTGCAAAATTTCAAGAACAAGGGCCTAGCGTATGCAAAATTGCAAGAACAAGGGCATAGCAAGTGCAAAATTGCAAGAACAAGGGCCTAGCATGTGCAAAATTGAAAGAACAAGGGCCTAGCGTGTGCAAAAAAGCAAAGACAAGGGCCTAGCGTGTGCAAAATTTCAAGAACAAGGGCCAAGCGTGTGCAAAAGTGCAAAAACATGGGCCTAGTGTGTGTAAACTTTCAAGAACAAGGGCCTAATGTGTAAACTTTCAAGAACAAGGGCCTAGCGTGTGCAAAATTGCAAGAACAAGGGCCTAGCGTGTGCAAAATTGCAAGAACAAGGGCCTAGCGTGTGCAAAATTGCAAGAGCAAGGGCCTAGTGTGTGCATAATTGCAAGAACAAGGGCCTAGCGTGTGCAAAATAGCAAGAACAAGGGCCTAGCGTGTGCAATATAGCAAGAACAAGGGCATAGCGTGTGCAAAACTACAAGAACAAGGGCCTAGCGAGTGCAAAATTGCAAGAACAAGGGCCTAGCATGTGCAAAATTGCAAGAACAAGGGCCTAGCGGGTGCAAAATA